TGCATTCCCCAAAGGATTTCCTCGCACCTCTTTTTTAGGGGGGGATCTGCCTTCACACCAGCTTGCAACGCTTTTATTATTATTATTTCTCCCTCCCCCAGTGCGCAAGGACTTTTGCACCCGTCCGGACAGCTGCCCCCGCCAACACCGGGCATCCTCCGCCGCTTGCCTGTCTGGTTTTCCCCAGCCAGAAAGAGCCGGTCTTTCCCCCCCTTTTTTTTTCCCCTTCTTTTTTTTCCTGGGCAGGACCCAGCTGCGCTCCTCCGGCCCCGGGGAGGTTTGGTGGCATCTCCGGGTCCTGTCTTCTTTTTTTCTTTTTGTTTTCTTCCCCTCCCTCCCTCCTTTCTCCGCGTTCAGCTCCCCAAACTGGAAGTTGGATTTTTAGAAGCAAGCCCACTTCAGAGATTTGTTGGGGTTTTTTTTTTTTATTCACTGGTTTTCTTTCCTTTCCATTTTTTTTTTGTTTTTGTTTGTTTTTTGGTGGTTTGATTTCTAAAGCCTGGTTTCTCTTCGGTCTTAGTCTCTGGGTGTGTGCACATAGTCTCCCCCTTTTATCCACCATCCCGGAGCGAAGAACATTTTTTTTTTCCCCCCCACCCCCGCTGTTGTGCTGGTTAAAGAGATTTTCTTTCTTCTTTTTTTTATTTTTTTTTTCCCCCCCTCTGCTGACATCCGATTTTTTTTCATTATCTTTTAACACAGAAACGCTTCATTAAGGGGCTGAGACAGTACGGAAAGAACTTCTTCAGAATCCGAAAGGAGCTACTTCCCAATAAGGAGACTGTAAGTACAATTGCACTTTATGTAACTTGCCTTTTTTTTTTTTCTTCCTCCCCTTCCTGCCACTTCTCGATGTTTGATCTTATGAAACTGTTTCCTTTTAACCCTGAATTGAATCCCCGACTCAGATGTTTGGAAGAGAAGGCCACAGCTGACAAAGGTTACTGCAGTTTTTCAGAACTGCAGTTTTTAAGCGTCGGGTATGGAAGAGGGTCTGTCGTAGCCTTGTTGTTACTGGAAGGAGTCGGCCGGTGGTGGATGGGGGGGGAGCGGTATTTATAGAGGCTAAATCTAATTTTAAATACAGGCATTATGTTGGGATAATTCATTTATGTCACCAACTTAGGCTCAAATGGCAGCGGGTAATTAACAAAAGCCTAAATCAAAACAAAATCTAATTGAATCTGGAAGAAGGAGGTATGTGGCGGCTGCTTTTAGGATCTGTAGGATTTAGTTTTGCTGTTAACTCTTTGCGCTCCTGTAACATTCGGACAGCGAGTCTCTGACTCAAGTTGCTAAATTGATTTGAAGGCTCATTGCTCCTTTCAGACTTCATAAGACAGCATAACAGTCCAGCGCAAAAAACCTTTGCAGGCGTTTGAGCAGGGAGTTAGCTGGGGACGGACCCTTTGAAAGAGGGCTTGGGAAGCTCCGGGAACAAGTTTTCCATTAGTCCTAATTGCCCCGCTTCTCTAGAAGCTTCGGTTTCCGTGCTGCAGGTGTCATTTAACTACTTGCAAGGTGGTGTTGGGAAGCAGTCTGCACTGTTGCCCTGAATTTATGATAGTACAGTGAAAATGGAGTTCGGTCTGCTATTTTTCTGGGTGATGAAGAAAGGATTTGTGTCCAAGTGGCACTTGCCATATTTCTGTAAACATCACCGGTAGAATATACCGTGTGCGTAACTTAATGTGGTGAGGGAGAGGAACGTTGTCATTGCGAGTACTTCTCTTGTACAGTGTGGGACTGCTCTAAGACGTGGTTTCCTTTTACTCTCCTGAGAGGTGTTCCCGTGACATTTATATTGTGACATCATAGTCCCTGATGAGTAAAAAAATTAATAACGTCACTCAAGGCAAAGAGAAAGGGGAAGGGGAAATGCTTCTTGGGGAGTATCTCAATCTGTAGAGGCATTAACTGGTTTTCTGCCAATGTTAAGAAATACTTGTTACTGTATCAGACGCAGTAACTAGATTTGGATTTGTCTGTGGGTCGAGATAACGTACTAGAGGGAGGTTGAAATTCTCTAAAACCTCACAGCATTTAACAAATCCAGCATGAAGTCTGCATAAACAGTTCTCCCTTTGGTTTTCTTCAAATTAACTCCCCGAAATTGTATTCAAGACAGATTAGCTTCTAGGGCAGAAATGCATTCTGCTTCAAGTGAAGTAATTGATTGTTCAGTCTATTTAAAACTACGCTTTGATTTCAGCTGCATCTGTTATGACATGTACTTTTAAAAATA